CGAGAAACACAGACGATACCGCATGACTTATTCAAGCAAGAGGGACATGACAATGTGCTCAGCGAGAATGTGACGGACGTAGAGAAGCAGGAGTTCAACGGCAGGCTCACAGAGACCGCAGTCAAGCGCGCGCACCCGAAAAGATAGATAGGCAAGCATTTGCAAGAGAACAGGGCCGAGGAGCTCTGGGAAGCGCTGGAAATCAGCGGCCCGGCGCAGATGGCGAGGATTACGCGAGCTATTGCGAGGAATATCGGGGCCAACAAGAAAGATGTCACCGCGCAATGCAGCTCGTTGAATTAGGTGATCCTGGCGAAGGATTCAAACGCGCGCAGTCGCGAGCACCGCGTCGCGGGCGCCGCCTTCGGCGGGGCCCCTTGCGAGGCCGCGATGCGCGCGTCTACGCGGGCGCGGCTGCGCCGCGCGAACCCCGCCGCTGGCGCCTTCCGGGGGCCCCCCCGCGGCGCCGCCGAGCGCGCGAGAGATTTGCCGAAATGGCGCGTGGGGGCCAGTGCAAGCCTTGTCGCTGGGGCCTTCAGTGGAGCTCCCTACGGGGCCGTCGAGCGCGCGAGGAGGGCGCCGAAATGGCGCGGGGGGGCGCGCGCGCGAACGTCGCCTCTGGGACTTGCTGAGGGGCCCCCTTCATGTGACCGCGAAGCGCGCGAGGTGGGCGCGCCGCCGGGGCCGTCGGGGGAGCTCCCCGCGGGGCCGCGAGACGCGCGAGGGGCGTGCCGACGCGGCGCGGGGGGGCGCGCGCGAACGCTGCCGCTGGGCCCCTCAGGGAAGACCCCCACGGGGCCGTGGGGCGCGCGAGGAGCGCGCCCAACCTATCGCGGACGGGGCGCGCGCGAACCTCGCTAGAGCCTTCGGTGGGGCCCCCCGTGGGGCCACTGCGCGCGCGAGGAGGGCGGGTGAATTCTGCGGCGGGGCGCGCGCGCGAAACCGGCCGCTGGCGCTTCGGGGAGCCACCCGCGGGGCCGCGAAACGCGCGGGGGCGCGCCGGAATGGCGCGAGGAGGAGGGGTGGGGTGTGGGTGGGGGGGGGGGTGCGCTGCGCGCGCGAACCCCGCCGCCTGGGCCCGGGGGGCCCGCGGGGCCGCCGAGCGCGCGGGAAGGGTCCGATGCGGCGCGGGGGCGCGCGCGCGAAACTGGCCGCAGGCGCCCTCGGGGGGGGGGGGGCTCATGGAGCCGCGAAACGCATGGTGGGCGGGCCGAACTGGCGCGGGGGGGCGCGCCGGCCTTCGGGAGAGTTTCGCGGGCGGCCACGAAGCGCGCGAGGGGCGCGACGACGCGGCGCGGGGGGCGCGCGGGGGCGCCGCCGCTGTGGCCGCCAGAAGGGGGCCCAACACGGGGCCACGAAACTCGCGAGAGGCGCACCGAATCTGCGAGGGGGGTCGTGGAGCTCCTCATGGGGCCACCAAGCGCGGAGCCCCCCCCCCCCCCGGGGCGCCGCGATCCTCGTGGGGGGTGTCAAAAATTGACCCTCTCAGGGGCCGACGAAGGGCCCTCCAACGACTCGCTAAACCCACCAAACAAGTCCATGGGTAGGGCGGGGCCTTCCCCGAAGGGGAGGAGAGGCTTCTGGAAGAAGATACGAATGATCTCTGAGACCACCTGCGCCCAGAGGGCTGGTGGGGCCCGATAAAGAACGAACGCGGGCACTGCCGAAGCAACGGCGGCATTGCGAAGATAGCGGCGGCGTGGCCAATGCCGAGCGCGGGAGAGACCCCGAACAGAGCGACGCAAACTCGTTATTCTTGGACAGGAGCCCAAGACGAATAACACCCGAGCGGAACAGGGACAAGGCGGCAGTCCATTTGGGTGGGCCAGGATCTCGAGTCGCATCTGGGGGGCGCGGATATTTTTGGCACTAAGGGAGCCCCATGCACGTGCAAAATTTCAGAAAGCAGGGCTATCGCCGCGGCGTCGAGCTGCATCGAATGATGTTTTTTCCTTACGACGACGGAGCACATGGGGTTCAACGGCTTGACCGCGGGCCCGCGCGGGAAAGTGGCGAGGGGGGAATCGGCCACGCTGCGCGGGCGGCAACGTCCGCAGCACGACCGGCGAGCAGGCATTGAAGCGCTGATCAGGAGAGTGGGATTGCACGTTTTGGCATCACAGAGACCAGCACGCAACAAACAACTTATGGCGGTGCTCTTCGGCATGCTGAACATAGACGACGAAGCAGCGAACGCGGCCGCGGGGCTGTCGCATCCTGAGGTTAACGGCCGGGCAGAAATAATGATGGGGGACCTGAGACAGGCGACGGGGGATGGCAGATGCATCTTGAGCACATCAGGGGCCGGATGGCGGCGCCCAGCCTGTTCGCGGAGGACCCGCGCGAGGGCGCGATCAGATGGGGCCCGAAAGAGTTCGGGCGTTTTTTCGTTTGTTTTTTTTGTCGCTCGTTTTTTATGTATTGTCTTATTTTTGGTTCATTTTTTCTCTACGTTATGGGTTTGGTGTTCCATTTGGAATTTATTTTTCTTGTCATTTTTATTATTGTTGTTTTTTTTTTTTTGTAGTTCTTTTTATGTTATTTTCTGTTTGTTTTTTGGTATGTATTTGTCTTTGTTTTTTTTGCTGTTTTTGGTTGTTTTGTTCTTTTTTTTTTGTATTTTGTTTTTTCTTTTTTTTTCTTATGTGTCTGGTTTTTTTTTTTTTTTGTATTTTTTTTGGCTTTTTTTCACTGTCGTTGTTTTTTTGTTTATTGCTTTCGTCGTTTTTCTTTTTGGTTTTTTTTTTCATCTCTTTTTTTTTTTTGTTCATTTTATGTTTTTCGTGTTTTCTATGATTTCTATTTGGTACTTTGGCTGTTTGTTGTTTGTTTAGTTGTGTTTTTTGTTTTTGTTTTTTTGGTTTTGCGTGTTTTTTATATGTCGTCGACGAGTGCGAAGGGAAATCTGGAATAGATATGACAAGACATCGAGCGGGAGAAAGCGATGCTGATCGACAGGCGCGCGCGGGTGCGCTGCGAGACCGAGGGCGGAACTGAGCGAGACAGGACATCCACGACAAAACAACGGCTCCAAACGCAACCATACAAAAGTAGCATCGGCTTCAGAATTTCGCATGTTCCCACCCCAAGTAATATGCACGTCATGTGGTGCGATGTTTTCAGAGATTGCCAATGCCGCTCAACGCGTGGAAAGGTCAATCTAACAAATAGAGATGTGCCGAACATAACTAGGGACCTTCTGCAGATAGTCGAATCGGACTGAGCGCGCGAGATACGCGGGGGTCAATCGTGATCACAGCATGAATTTCGCGATCATCTCAAGACACGCCTACCCTGTGCGCCAGTCTGACCAGAAAAGGTTAGATGGGGGAGGGAGGGCGCCGCGCCGGCTTGGGCAGGCGAGCAGAAAGCACATGGAGGACACGCAGGTCGTAAACTCAAAGGGGGGCAAGGGCAGGAGCGAAGGAGATACGGCGGACGGCGCGCTGGACCTGGCAGCGACAACTGCGAAGTAGCTGCGCCCACGATAGCAAAGGCCGCGGAAGCGGGCATCGACTACAACAAAAGGCGCGCAGGAGCTCAAACACATTATAAGATATGGAAACGGCGTGGAACATATTCTCTCGGACCGCCACGCCTCGTCATCTGGGCGGTGGCAGCGTCGGCCATCGGCGAAAAGATCGTGGACGAAGGAAACAATAATCTGCTGCTTCAACATTGCAAGTCAGTCGGGTCTGTCCCTCTACAAGGGGTATATTCAACAATTGTAAAGAATAACCTGGGGACGACTTGTGCTTATTTGCTGACAATGTTTGAGCATGTTGGGTGTATTTCTCGTGCAGAATCCGCCGGTAGGGGGACATGCCCGACCTAACACTACAACGAGAAGGTGACGGGCCCAGGCTTGCAGACGCGCGGGGATGCGATGCTGCACTTCACGCTCAAACGCAACACAATGATGAACCAGCAGAACCACAACATTCAGGAGGGGAAAAAGCACACAGGCACAACGAATCGTCGATCCCCAGGAACATGTGGGAAATTATGGGAGGTGGGGGGGAAAACGGAAACCCCAAACATATGGAAACAGATAGGGAATCTCGGGATTCGCGTGTATTTATTTGTGTGTCCCTCGGCCCCCCATTCAAACATGAGCAGAGCGATTTGGGCCATGAGCCCTGCCTGCCGCGTCGCCGTCGGTGGCATCTCGCCGGAGCAGATCAGGCACGAGAAGGGCCAGCGCAAGCTGGGGCAGGCCCCGCGAGGGCCGCGAGCGAGAGATCGGCAACACGCTGAAGGCCTTCGCCCGAAACCGAGAGTGCGAGAGCCTCTCCCGGGAGAGGCGAGCGAAATTATCCTCCACCGACCTCCAACATTCCTGACATTCGCCCCCCTCCTCCCTCTCCCAGGACGAGCCCCCCGCCCCCGGTCCGTGTTCTGACCCTCGGTTCTTTTTTCCCCCAAGTTTCCATGCTGCGAGGGCCATCGGAGCTTGAGCGAAAGAACGGGGGGGGAGGGGCAGGTGCGAGACCAGGGTAGAGGAGCAGGCAAATGTTGTGGAGGGAGGCGAGGAGGAGGAAGGAGAGGAAGGGGTCGCCTCAAGGAAAGAACCGTGAGACGAGGGATGCCATTATTGGCCCTTCGCAGCAGGGCTGCTCCTATCGAGCCCATTTTCCTTATTGAGTTACTGCCCTCGAGCAGGTGCCGCTCAGCCCCTCGCCTTTGCCATAGGGCCAAAGAGGGTGCTGATTGGGCATGTGCGTTTGTGCGCCGCCTGCAGACCCCCTGCACTGATAGATACCTTTTAAACTTGTAGCTTAAGCCCCGAGTATAAGCCACCACGTTTGCTCTTGAGTCTAGAAGTTGGGCCCGAATCCGATTGCTCATTTTTCGTTGTTCCTCATTCGCCCCTCCGGCGTCCTCGGCGTCGTCGCCCTCCTCGTTTTCCTCGTCGCCCTCCTCGGCCTCGTCCTCCTCCTCCTCCTCCTCGTGAACCGTCCTCTTCCCTTCCCTCTGTCCTCGTCGCCGCCGCCGCCCAGGAGCTCGCGGCGGCCGTCCTGGAGGGCTACGCACCCGCGGCGGGCGCCGCGCACGTGGCCGTGGTGGCCATGGGCGCCACGGCGACCAGGGCCGCGGGCCTCGAGTCGGACGAGGACACGATCGCCGCCAGGAGCCCCGGCTTTGCCCAGCGCTCCCGGCGGCTTCCCAGCCGAGGGGAACGTTCCAGCGGCTGCGCTTCGCCGGCAGCGGCCCAGCGACCACGGCGACGACCATGACGGCGACGGCGACCACAACGACAACGTCGACGACGACGACGGCGACCACGACGACGACGACCACGACGGAGACGTGGACGCCGACGACCACGACGACGACGTCGACGACGGCGACCACATTTGCAGGGGGAGGGGGGAGGAAGAGGAGGAGGAGGAGGAGGAGGAGGAGGAGGAGGAGGAGGAGGAGGAGGAGGAGGAGGAGGAGGGGGAGGGGGAGGGGCAGACGGAAGAGGAGGGAGGAGGAGGAGAGGAGGAGGAGGAGGAGGAGGAGGAGAATGCGCAGGCCGGAGCGTTTGGAGACTGCGATGCGGGGAGCGCGACGGAGGCGGCAGCACCCCGTCAAAGCGGCTGGCGCCTGGCCCTATCAGCAGCCGCCCGCGCAGCACGGTAGCGATCAGCGCTGCCGCCTCGTGTTCGTCCTCGTCCTGCTGTGGCTGCTGCTGCTGCAGCAGTTGCTCCTCCCCGCTCGCGTCGTCCTCTGGGCAGGGCGGCATCGTGTCCTTGCTCTCCCTGCTCACCATGAATACCACCACCATTATCATCACATCAGCAGCATCAACGTCAGCATCAACATCATCATCATGCTCCTCCTCCTCATCATCAGCATCAGCATCATCTTCATCAGCATCATCATCGCAATACTCCTCCTCCTCGTCCTCCTCCTCATCATCATCAGCATCATCAGCATCATCAACATGGGCATCAGCATCATCGTCATCGTCATCACCATCACGATCACCATCATCACCAGCGTTGTCATCATCATTGTCGTCTCCATCATCATCACCAGCCTCCCCTTCAATGCTTTTCTGAACAGATCTAAGTCGACGGAGACCTTAGCGCCAGCCTCCCTCCTTCTTCGTCCCCATCATCATCACCATCATATTCCATGCGTTTGCCGTGCGCTGCGAAGCCGAGGCTTCGTATACTAGGGAGAAAGGCAGGAGGGAACGCGGAGGAAGGGAAGGGGAGGACGAGAACGATGGGGATACGGGGGCTGAGGGTTAACGGGGACGGCGAATGGGAGGAGGGTGCGTAGGGGAGGAAGGGAGGGGAGGACGGAAGGGGACGAAGGGGAGGGGAGGAAAGGGAAGCCAGGGGACAGGGGTCGAAGGGACGGACAGGGGAGTGGGTGGATGGGAGGCAGGTGAAGAAGGGGAGGGGGGATCAGATAATGGAAGGGGGAGAAGGCCTCTCCTCATCCTTCTCATTGTCCTCCTCGTTTTCTTCCTTCTCTCCATAGCTTCGCGAATTTGCTCCAGCTGCGGACCACGGGGCCAGCCCCCCCCCCCGCCCCCTCCCCTTGGCAGCAGCTGCCAGGGGCGAGAGGGAGGAAGAGCAGGAGATGGACGGGGGAGGCAGGGTAATTAGGAGGAGGAGGAGGTGGAAGGCAAGGAATTGCGGAGGCCCCTCTGTAAAACGAGGGGGAGGCGGGGCGATGAGGAAAAAGGGTACAAGAGATACCCTCTTACAGCATGTGTTTACCTTGGTTGCGCTGAGCCCGCCGGCGGTCAGCGCTCGCCTTCCCACACGGGCGGCAGAGCAGGACAGGGAAGGAAAGAAGGAGGAGGAGGAAGAAGAACAGGAGCATCGCCAAGGGCCAAGGATGATCAGGAGGAGGAGGAGGAGGAGGAGGAGGAGGGGGAGGAGGAGGAGGAAGAGTAGGAGGACTTGGACTTGGAACGTGAGGGGGAAAAGGAGTTGGGAGAGGCAGAGGCCGAGGGAGTGGGACAGGGAGAGGGACTGTATGGGGAGGAGGAGGAGGAGGAGCAGGAGGAGGAGGAGGAGGAGGAGGAGGAGGAGCTGGAGCTGGAGCTGGAGCTGGAGCTGGAGCTGGAGGAGGAGGGGGAGGAGGAAGAAAAATAATAAGAGAAAGGGAAAGAGAAGGAGGAAGAGGCAGAGGAACAGGAAGGGGAGAAGGGAGAGGAGCAGGGAGATCCAGATGGCAGGAGCAGCGAGCAGGGGCTTGTCGAGCATGCAGCAGAAAGGAAGGAAGGGAGCACGCTTAGACGGAGCAGCAAGACGAGGGAGGAGCGAAAGGAAGGAAGGCAAGAAGGAGCAGCAGCTTGTCGCAGCCGCAGCGGCGGGCGCGGCCCCCTGCTGTGCCCACCGCCCCCCTCCCCTCCCCGCCGCCGCGGGTGCGGGGGGGCCGCTGCCGGTCCCTCGACGAGCCTCGGCGGTGCGAAGCGGGAGCGGTGAGAGCCCCCCCCCCCCGCCGCTGGCAGCATCAGCGGCCTGACGTGGAGCGAGGGCGCCAGCATGCTGGGCAGCAGCCTGGCCCTCGCCAACACGGTGCTGCGTCAGGACACCGGACCGGGCGGCCTGGGCAGCGCCCAGGGGGAGGAGAGGGTGGGGGGTCGGGCGGGGGCCGGGGGCGAAGGAGGAGAGGGGGGAGGTTTGTGGGCGTCTGTCGCGTTTTGGGAGGGGGGTCTGGAGGCTTTTGAGTCCAACGTTGACTGTCCCTCCATCCCCCCCTCCCTCCCTCCCTCCCTCCCTCCTCTTCCTCCTCCCCCTCCTCCTCATCATCACGTCTTCCCTCCGTGGCCGCTTTGGCTCAAGATGATTTCGCCCCGTGGCAGACCACGGAGACCCTTGGTCCAGGGACTGCAACGGATTTTTTCTCCTGCCTTCCTTGCGCCCGCGAGGTCGAGCTTCCATGTCCTTGCCATAGCATTCGCGGGCTGGTGGCTCCACGTGCGAGGCTGTCGCGGGCCTCTTTTTTGGCGACTGACAGCGGGACATCATGATGTTGGCCAGCGACGACAGGGGTGCAGACGGCAAGCGTACCTCCAACCAAATGGATCCCGGCTTCATCATTGCCTCTGAGCTGCCTGCACCTGCGCCACCTGCGCCAGCAACTGGAGGAGACCCTCGCTGCGCAGTTCAAGGTGGCCGCCCCAGAGTTCGAGGCCACAGCGAAGCCCGTCACGGAGGCCGCGGGCGTGCAGTTTCTCGCCTCGGTCACGTCCATCGCCACCGATTGCAACACAAAGCACAAGCACTACAGTAAACAACACCAACACAAAAACACCACTCGGGCTGCCAAGACCAGGGCCTCCACGCGTGAGCTCCGCGAGTCGGTCGAGAAGCTCCGGGGCATCGTGGACGACGCCGAGTCCCACTAGCCCAGCCTCAAAGTGGAGGCCATGGGCACCTTGGACCACCCTGCTGGTCCCTGCACCTTCTGGTGCGGCTGCGCCACCGCCTTCGGCACCGAGGACCTCAAGCTCGCGCTGGACGAGTGGTTCAAGGCAGCGCAGGTCAGCGGTGAGCACATCGCCTTCAACACGACGGGCCTCGTCAAGCGCCACAGCTTCGCCCTCACGGGCGGCACGGTGGTGGCAGCGCCGCGCGCTCGGAGGCTCCATAGAGCACTTCACGTCGGCCGTCAGTGGCGCGACTTCCAGGTCTCTACCCCTGGTGCTCCTGATGCTGATGTGTATGTGTCGGTGGATAAGGGCACGCACGCAGTGCGCAGAGAGGTCCAGATCAAGCGCATGGCCAAGTTCATCAACGACCAATTCCAGTCCTTCGACCCTCGAGCTCATCGTTACCAAAGCTACACCATGTATCAAAATGAGTCTCTCGTGCAGCTGCGCATTGACACTGCCTCTGATGAGCTCACACATCTGCATTGGACTACTTCCGCTGATCGGAGTGGCACTGACGCCCAACACCAGCTGGACCTCTACAGTTCCTTCGAGTCCAGCTCATCGGACGCATTTGCTTTAGCCCTCGGTGGGCGCAATGGCTGTGCAAACCCACCGATGCTGAAACGAACCTCGCCTTCGGGAACACGCAGGCGCTCCACGGCACGTCCGACACGCGCAGTCAAGATGACCGGCGACTGCTACTGCCCCTGGTTCGCCAATGTACGCCCATTGCGTGCCAGGAGACGCACGGCTCTGCGACGCACATGGACATCCTCGCGCGCTCCACGCAGCACCCGTACATCGCTTACCACTCGGCGATCGCCGACTCCACCTCCCCCGGCAGCATGGGCTTCCTCATCCCGCACGACAAGGTCGAGATGAGCCGCCCACCGGACGTGAGCCCGCTACAAACTTTCGCAGAAGTCGTTCCAGGGCGAGCCGCATGGTTCAGAATCGCGGAATTCACCAGAACGTGCGACGTCGCTGTTCTGAACGTGCACAACCATGCCCTCTCGCCGAGCGATCGCGAAGCCGTTCGACACCATTGGCAACAGGTACACCTACACGCAGCCTCTGACTCGATGATGGGCGATTCTACAGGCTTACGCCACATCTGCCGACCTTTCCATGTGTAGTTTGAATAATATGGGTTTTTGGGGCGTCCACTGTGATGGTTATGAAGATAGTAGCGAGAGGGTGGGTTTTGAGGGTGTCTCAGGGGCATCTTGGGCCGTCCGGAGGCCGTCTTGGGCCTTTGGGAACGATCTTTCAGCGACTCGGGGCCTTCCTGGACCGTCTTGGATGCGTCTTAGGGGCCCTCTTGGGGCGTCGGGGAGCCCTTTCTCCCCTCGTGAGCTGGGCGGGGCCAATGGACGCCACGGGGCCCACAAGCGGCCGGCGGATCCATCCTTACCCGATGGCATCCTCGCCCTGGCTTCGTCTTCGAGGCGTCGCCGCGCACGCATGCGCAGCCAAGCCGCTGCAATAAAAAGGATTACTTGGCGTGCAGAAGGGGGCCCCGGGCCGCTCCTCGGGCCTCCTGACCCGCGGGGCCGTCTCCTGGCCGAGGCCCGCCGTGGCCGGGAGACGGCCCTGCCGCTCTTCACTCGCGGGCACCCGACGCCGTGGTCAGCGTCAGCGCGTGGGGCTTCGAAGTCCGAAGGATGTCTCCAGCTCGGGCGAAGGGAACTATGCACATGCACCGATCCTGGCAAGGCCCATTCTTGGCCCAGGATCGGTGCATATACCTTCCTAGCCAAGGTAGGAGGGCGTACGCACCGATCCGGGGCTCAGGGTCGGCCTGGCCAGAATCGGTGTATGTGCATAGTTCTGCTTCCTCTATCCAGCGCCGGCTGTTCATCTCGAGTCGTCGTTGGGCGGTCCCGGGGCCCAGCGACGGCCCCTGAAGAAAAGCATGCGTCCTGACGCGTTGCCAGAAATAAGAGGTCTGTCGTTGCGCGATATCCGACCCCGAATCATGCCGCCGGGTCGGTTTTGGAGGTCGCCGCGGCATTCGCGGCGGCTACAGATCGGGGGATACTGTTGTCAAGGAGCGGCATCGTTTTTTCGCAGCCTCTATTCCTGCGATGTAGACGTGGCTCCTGTGTAGCACAGGTGGGCAGTCATGCTTTTCTCTGGGCTGGTGTCGATTCGCACGTGACCAGCCTGGGCCTGGCATTCCTCGTCGCGTCGCGCCCACATGTTCCGCGCGGCAGGTTCGTGTCGCATCGGCGCGGCGGCGAGCCCAGCGCGAGCGGCTCACGACGCATGATGATTGCCAGAGAGGAAAGAAACGCCAGCGTTCTGCAACGCATGCGCGGCGGACAGGGCATTCGCGAAAGAGAAATGGCATTGGCCGCATACGATCCCATTGGCTTTCCCGCTACCCTCCCACGCGGTGTGGGCTTGATTTGGTTCCCCACATGTTTCGTGGGGTCTGGGTTTTCTTCCCACCCGCGTCGCACCCGCGTTTTCCTCGCACCTCCCTCATACCTCCTCCCTCTCCTCCTCTTCCGTTCTCCCTCCACCCACACAGCCGCACGCACGCAAACACTCGCACACACACACACACACACACACACACACACACACACACACACACACACACACGCGCACACGCGCACGCACACGCACACGCACACGCACACACACACACACCATACAGCGCTAGTGCATGTCTGGCGTGTTCATTTTATCATACACCCAAGACGTATGCACAACATACTGGGCACCCACATGAGACACACGTCCCGATACGGCCGCACACGCATCATACACATACACATGGCATGCCATGTACAAAGTGTGCGCTCAGGATTCGCATTGCGTAGCAGGCGTGGCAGGCTTGGCACTTCCTCGACACCACAGGGGGTGCGCTGGGGGTGGTCTCCCTATCCGCTGCAGGCGCACAGGGCGTGGCAGGCTTGGCACTTCCTCGACATCACAGGGGGTGCGCTGGGGGTGGTCTCCCTATCCGCTGCAGGCGCGCAGGGCGTGGCAGGCTTGGCACTTCCTCGACACCACAGGGGGTGCGCTGGGGGTGGTCTCCCTATCGGCTGCAGGCTCTCAGGGCGTGGCGGGCGTGGCACTGTGCATAGATGGTAATGATATAAGCAAACACATAAGACTTACATGAAATGTGTGGGGCTGGGTTGGAATGATATGAACTCACATTCAAAATGGGCGATGGGGCAGAATCGTTTGTGAATCATACAGTCGGGGCCCTGAAGAAGGAACCCTTTTCGTTGGGGAGGGGCTCCGCGTTCCTTAAGTGTTTCGCAGCTTGCCTCAGGTTTTCCTTATGTTTTCGATGGGAAATCGAAGTTTAACTTATGGAAAAAAGGGGCCTCGTTCCTTATTTTAGGGTTCCTTGGATCAACGCCCCGACTGTATTGGACGACGGGCCGCGACGAGGCGGCGACTTGGCGACGACGGCGAGCACACAGACGCCAGACCGACACCCAGGCCCCGACGATGGGCGGCGACGAGGTGGTGACGGGGCGGCGGCGGCGACCGCGGAACTGTCAGACCGACACCCAGTCCCAGACGACGGGCGGCGACAAGGCGGCGACGGCGAGCACGGAGCTGCCAGACCAGCACCCAGGCCCAGTTGCTCAGAACAGAAGTAAGAGCCTCTAAATTCAAACATTGTTTGGGGAGCCATAGTTTTCCACCGCACACATGTAAGGTTTAGAACATTTTCGTTTCTAACTGAAAGGTCGTAGTCCGTGATGCGACCCTAAAGCAATCTTGTTCAAGCCCCCGCACGCAAGTGACCATGGAACCTGGGCTCCTTCGAGAAATGTCCAAAGGAACTCCGGCTCCACAGGGCCATGTCCCGCGGTTTAGCATCAAGGTTACACCTCAAGGTTTTCTCAAGATGCAGTGACCCTGGTTCCACCTCAAGGTTTTTTCTGGCATCCGCAGGATTCCTTCGGTAATCCTCACGGATCTCTCAGCATCCCGCGGATTTCTTTCAGGATTCTTCGGGATGATCCGGGGCTCTTCGGAACTCAGGATTTTCCAGATTCCCCTAGGATTCCGTCAGAGTTCTCAGAATGAGGATTTTTCAGATTCTCGTGATGGTCCGCTCGGATTTTTCGGGATCCCCTATATTTCTTCAGGACCCCAGAAATTCCCCAAGGATCCCATCGGACTCTTCATAGTCCTTTAAGATTGTGGAGTTTCCGCGAAGACTCCTCTTGACCTCTCGGAATCCTTCAGCCTGGTCGCGAGTTTTGGACTGTATTGCTCTGGCGCTTGTCCCCCTCTCTGCTCGTTATCAGAACGACTATCTTGGACATCGTTGATGGGTGGGCTGGCAGGGGCACGCGAAGGCTGACATCCTCCTCCTCCTGCTCCTCCTGCTCCTCCTCCTCCTGCTCCTCCTCCTGCTCCTCCCCCTCCTCCTCCTGCTCCTCCTCCTCCTCCTCCTCCTGCTCCTCCGGTACGCTGGTAGGAGGATGGGTGGGCGGACGGGAGAGGGACGGAAGCGATTGAGGAATCCAGACGAATCCTGCGGAATCCCAGCGAGCCCTGGAGAATCCGCAGGAAGCCAGAGAGAACCGAAGAAGGCCAGAGGAGTTCTCAGGAGTCCTTTGGTATCTTGAGGAAGCCAGAGGAATCAAACAAATCCAAAAGAAATCTTGCGGAGTCCTGAGGTACGTTGAAGAGTCCCAAGGGACTCGGAGGAGTTTTATGGGATTCACAAGAATTTGGAGGCATCCTGTTGGATCCGAGGAGTCCTGTGGCATCCGAAAGTTCCTGAGCAGTCCTGAGGGACCCGAGGAACCTTGAGGAAACCTAGGAATCCTGAGGAACCCTGAGGAATCCTCAGGAACCTCGAAGAATCTTCAGGCATCCTTAGGCATCCAGAGTGTCCTGAGGAAGCTTGAGGGACCCTGACGAATCTTAAGGCTCCCTGAGGAACAGTAAAGCTATATAGCAACAACAAACAGGGACCTTGAGGAATCCTGAGAATCCAGCGCAAACCTGAGGAACCCTCAGGAATCCCGAGGAATCTGGAGGAGTCGTAAGGAACCATTAGGGACACGAGGGAGCCTCGAGGAATTTTGAGAACAAAAAGGAAGCCAGCGGAACCCTGAAGAATCCGGAGGAATCTCTTGGCATTCTTAGGATTGATTCTTCAGGAATCCTCAGGAAATTTGAAACACCTTTTTAGAAATCCGCGAGAAAACGGAAGGAGGAAGAGAAGGTCTTCAATATTCTTCAGGATTCCTCTGGATCCCTCCAGATCCACCAAGAGTTCAAAAGGGTGCCTTAAGGACTCCTAACGGGCTCGGTTTTCTCGGCATCGCTGTGGGCGATCGATGACCTGCCAACGCCTCCTGCTGCTGGCGGTGCGGCTGTGGCAAAAGGCTCTTGCCCCCCGCGCTTCGCGGCTGCTGCGGCGGCCCTTGCGGAGCGGCGGCGGCGCCGCCAACGGAAGGCGGAAGCGCGCAGGCCGGCTCGCGGCGGCCGCGGCGTTGGCGAAGCCGAGGCTGCGGCCTGGAGCGCCGCCGACGACGAGCTGGACGGCGCTTGAGCGGGCGCGCCCAGCCGGCGCGGAGGCAGGGCGGCGAGTGCCCGGCGGGCGGCGGCGGGCGCTGGGCCTCGCAGCAGTGGCTGCCGAGGGCGGGGCCCGCCGCCCTCTCCCCGCGGCCTCGGCGGCGGCGGCAGCGGCCGGCGGTGCGGAGGCGGCGCCCGGTCGCTCGGGCCCGCCGGCCGGCCTCGACGGGCGCCCGCGGGCGCGGCGCTCGCCGGGCGGCGTCGGGCCTCGGCGGCTCCCCGTTGGCGCGGGGCGGCTGGGCGTGCGGGGGCAGGCTGGGGCAGCATTCGGCAGCATGCCGCAGGCGGGCCGTGGCGGTGCGTCCCCCTCGTGGGCCCCGCCGCGGCGACCGTGCAAGTGCGTTTCCTCGCGGTGTGGGCGGCGCTCTGCGTGGTCCCCTTCGCGGCCAAGTGGGTCCAGGGCGGATCAGGTCCAGCTTTGCCCCCCCCGCTGGCTGCTGTGCCCTCTCAGCTTGCTCTTGGGCGATGTGCATCGGCAAGAGCTGCTCCCCCGCCTCCTCCTCCTCCTCCTCCTCCTCCTTCCTCCTCCTCCTGCTCCTCCCTCCTCCTCCTCCTCCTGCCTCTCCGCCTCCCCCTCCTCCTCCTCCTCCCCCGCCTCCCCCTCCTCCCCCTCCTCCTCCTCCTCCTCCTCCTCCTCCTCCTCCTCCTCCTCCTCCTCCTCCTCCTCCTCCTCCTTCTCCTCGCCATCGCCTGCCCAGGACGGCAGGCGGAGCGCCTTCGCGACCGTGGTGGTGCTCGCTGCGGGCATGGTGGCGGACCCCTACGAGGACGAGCCGCCGTCGTCCTTGTCGTCTTCGTCGCCGTCGTCGTTGTCGCCGCCGCTACCATCTCTGTCGACATTCTCGTCGTCGTCGCCGCCGCCGCCGTGCTTCTCGTCTTCCTCGTCGTCGTGATCGTCGACCCCCTTTTCAGATCAAGATGGATTGGCTTTAGCTGGTTCGCGCCGGCGGGCGAGAGACGCTTTTGTCGAATCGTGCCCCCAGGCTGCGTCAGGGAGGGCGATCCTTGTTCCGTCTCGCTCGGTAAGATAGAACGCCGAGGGTGTTGAATGGGACGTAGCACAGGTGTATGTATAGGTGTATATATGTGTATCTATGTGTATATATAGATATATCCACGCACATTGACATCAGCCAGCGTGGGCCCCAAGCAGTGCGTTTCTAGCAGTGTATGCTGTGCAATCGGGGTGGCGCGATCTGTGCGGTGCCATGTGCGTGGTGCGCTGTATGTGGTGCAAGGTGTGTGTCGCAATAGATGCAACATGAGCGTTGCAATTTATGCGGTGCAATCAACGTGGTGCAATATACGTGGCGAAATAGACGTTGTGCAATCCATGTGGCGCAATCTGCGTGGTGCAACCTATGTGGCGCAACTGAGCTTTACAAACGAGTTGTTGACAAATCCCCTGCCCTTGCAAACATCCCACCCACACACCCGCAACTCGGTTTCTTTCCGGAGGCATGAAGTGCGGTTGCACTGGCCTGTTACTGACGTTGCAGAGTAAACATCGCATGATCATGTTCTCAAGAGCTCCCATATCAATTCCACTGCTTCTTCCAATGCTATGGCCTCGGCCGTAAAGGAAGATATTCGTGTGCTGATAAATCGTCCCGCCATGCAGACTGGATTCGACACTGTCTCACCCGATAGTTGCACGTGGGCTTCGACGTACCACGCTGCTGATGAGCACTTGTTTGCACGGGTACCCCCATCAGTATGTATGACATAGTTCTCCCCAATCAGCGCGTGCACTGAAGGGGTCCTAGCGGAAGTTGAAAGATTTGGCGACAGTTTCCCGCCGATTTTGGTAGCAGGCTGGATTCCCGGGTTCCCGGTTCCGGGTTCCCGGATTCCCGGTTATTGGTTCCGGGCCGAGTTCGGTGGGTTTTGGGTTCCCGGACTTCGAGGTTCCCGGTCGATCTCCTCAGCGAAAACCATCCAGTGATTGCGGCTTTGCTCTGGTGTAATTTGCTTTCTGTGCAGACACGTTGTCCACAGGAGGTACAAATGTCTGACACCATGAACGCTGGATATACATGGTGTAATTCGCAATGTGGTCGGCTATCATATTGAAGCGTCGCCAGCGCCACTGCACAGGGTTCAATTCCGGCTGGCTTGTCATCTTACCATACTCCACCATGGCAAATAGTTTTCGGACACACGGGTGAAGAGCGGAACAAGGTCAGGATTGAGCAGGACCGTGCCGCCGTTGATGACGTTCGCTAGGGGTTCGCAGTTTGAGACGAAGCAGAGATGCCGTTCGGGTCCGGCTCACTGCATCGCCGGAGCGCCGTCGCCATGCGTGGCCGCAACTTGGCTTGCAAAACCCATGCGGCGGCGATTGCGATGAGTGCTGGGCGTTGGCTGGTGCATCTCTGCGGCCGCGCTAGCCCGCGCATGCTCGCGTGCACAGCGGCCAACTAGTTTGGCGCGACCGACGCGGCCGCGGTGGCGCTGACCGCTGGGCACTTCCCAGCGGACACTTTAGTGCGAGTCGGTGACTTGGGCGGGTGCGGTATCATGGCGACGCTGGCAACGGTCGACACGATTATGAGAGTAGCCATGGTGGTGGCGATAACGACGGCAAGGCCAATGACGGCGCCGATGTTAATCACGTATGGGCCCCCTGTTGGAGTCGTCTTGGGGGCCCTTTAGGCCGTCGTGGAGGCCTCTTAGGCTCTCCAGGGCCGTTTTGGGGCCGTCTTGGAGACCTCTTGGGCCTTGGGTCGATCTTGGGGGCCTCTTCAGCGGTTTGGGAGCGTCGAGAAGCCGAAAAAGGTGAGAAAACTAAAACCCTTCACGAACCGATGGGACATCAATTACGTTTGCCTCCTGAGGCCTTCTTGCGAAGCCTCTTGGAGGCCTCTGAGGGCGTCTTGGGGGCATCTTGAGAAGTCTTGAGACGACCTTGGGCGTCTTGGAGCGATCCTTCAGCGATTTAGGGCCCTCTTGTACCGTCTTGGGGGCCTCTCGGGGACCTTTTGGCCTGTTTTGGAGCCTTCATGGGCCCGAAAGTCATGCAAGACTCTGCGGGATTGATGACCCAGGCCCCAGGGGATGGAACGCGGCCGCCGCTGGAAGAGGGAAACCGCGCGACAAAGTGCGCTAGAATTCCCTCCCCCAACCGCGGCCGCAGCCGCGGCCGCAGCTGGAAAAAGAAAACCACAAAGAGAGGTAATTACCCGAGGACACTCCAACTCATGTATCAAGGTCACGGTGCCCAGACCCCCGACGTCGTGATTTTTCATAACGTCGACACCCAGAGGTATGGACCCCTTCCCCGGGACCTGTTTTTTCATCCTGGGTCATTCTTTGACGGTCCCGAGGCCCGGTAGGGGCCCCCAGAGACCGAACATAGGGAAAAGCCTCCCGTCGCGATTTCTTCACAACGCGAGGGGGTTTGGGTGGCGGCCCACGAGGCGCCCACGAGACGGCACGGGCGGCAGCGTGGCGCAGCCTCGGCATACCCATAAGTCGGGCGCGTCCCTCCACAGGAGGAAAGTTCAAAAACAGTCAAAAGATAGTCCCGGTACGACGTTTTGACAGTTTTTGATTTGGGGGGCATCTGTTTCACAAATTTTAAGCGTCGTCCAAAATACGCCTGCAGGGAGAGATGCCCGACTTAAGCGTACAGTCGGGGCCCTGAAGAAGGAACCCTTTTCGTTGGGGAGGGGCTCCGCGTTCCTTAAGTCTTTCACAGCTTGCCTCAGGTTTGCCTTACGTGTTCGATAGCAGATCGAAGCTTAACTTATGGAAAAAAGGGGCCTCGTTCCTTATTTAGGGTTCCTTAGGTCAAGGCCTCGACTGTAACCTCCGTTCGCACCAGCAGGCCCTTCAACGTCGCCCGCCCTCGCGGCAGCGGGCGGCCGGCAGAACGCCGGCGGGCGGCTGCGCGACACCTGGCCGCGTGCGCGCGGCCACCGACGCGCCGCTGGAGGAGGAGGAGGACGGAGAAGGAGGAGGAGGAGGAGGAGGAGGAGGGGGAGGAGTCCTACATTGTCAAGGATGCCCTGAGGGCCCTCGTTTCTTATATATAGGGTTCCTTAGGTCAACGCCCCGACTGTACCCCCCCCGGGCGCGGGGCGCCCGCGAGGCGGCACGGGCGGCAGCCCGGCGCAACCGCGGCGCACCCCCCAAAGGCGGCGGCACGGGCGCGCCAAGGCGGCGAAAACCCGGAGCGGTCGTCCGATTGTTGCACGGAGATGAGAAAGAATCCCACTCCTGATGTGCAGGCACAAGCTGGGGCATGATTGTATGCCGCTGATGTTTGTGTTGTGTGTTATTCTTCTTTTCTTTTCTTGTTTCTCTTTCTTTCTTTCTCTGTCTCTCTCTCTCTCTCTCTCTTTCTTTCTTTCTCTCTCTCTCTCTCTCTCTCTCTCTCTAGATATATACCCCACTCTCTAACTATGTCTCTCGTCCTCTCTCTCTTTCTTCTTTGTTTCTCTCTCTCTGTTGCTTGTATATATGTTTGCCAATTGTTTGCTATACATCTCTATATATTTCTGGCTATCTTCCTCTCTCTCTCTCTTCTCTCTCTCTCTCTCTTTCTCTCTCTCTCTCTCTCTCTCCCTCTCTCCATTCCTCTTCCTATATTTTGATAATCCCGGGCGGGGGGGGGGGGGGGGGGAAAGCACCCCCAAAACCGGACTCCCGGGATCTGGGCCTTTGGGACCCTCCGGACGGGCCTCGAAGCGGCCCTTGGGCCTCGCAGGGCGTTTCGCCAAGCCTTCCCAGCACGCCTAGGGCGATCAGGGGGGTCATCGGAGACGTCCCAGAGATCCCCAAGACAGCACAAGAGCGCTCCAAGAGTGGCCGACGTGACCTCAAGATGGCCCCAGAGGCCTCCAGGACGGCACCAAAGAGGCCTCCAAGAGCACTCCCAAGAAGGCCCCCAGAGGCAAACATCAATTGATTCTCTGTGGGTTTTTGGTGAATTTTGGGGTTCTCCTCTTTTCGGCTTCCCGACGCTCCAAGACGGCGGTCTTCTGGGCGTCCGAAGCCGCCTGGGAGGCTCCAAAATCGCCCTACAACCATCCGGAAGGGCTTCCAGGCAGTCCAAGAGAGCCCCAAAACGGCACAACATTGGTCCAAGATGGCTCTCAGGGAGCCCCATGGCGGCCCAAGACGGCCCAAAGACACCCTCCGAAGCATTCCAAATCGTGACCCGGTCGTTCAGGGAGACCGCGGTTCCAGGCAGGGTGGCCCGAGGAAGCCCCCAGAGGCCCCCAGAATACATACGCCCAGGAGGCCTCCAGAAGGCCTTAAGAAAGCCTGAAACAACTTGTGTGAGGCCCCCAGAGGCTCTCCAAGGAGGAGCCTCCGCAAAAAAGAGCTGAGGGGGGATGGGGAGAATGCGCAGGGTATGGCGAACATCAGGAAGAAGAAGAAGCATGGAGGAAGGATAACGTATAACATTATCTTGGCGGCGATACCGGAAAAGGCAACAAGGAGTTATCGCTTAATTGTCGGTTTGATTTTCCTGCTATTGCGCCTGCGTGCCAAACTCCAAGGACCAAGGTGTATGGCGCGAAGCGCCACTGCAGCCTTGTGTGTGTATATATATATACGTATTTCTGGTTTGTGCCTCTCTCTCTCATTCTCTCTTTCTCTCTCGATGTGTATACACATGTATATTGCTTTCCCTCTTTCCATGTATGTACTTATATACGAGACTGCATCGGAACTTCGCGCCAGGCACCCTGGTCCTTCAATTTTGGCTTGTGGGCGGGCTGCAGGGGATGATGATAAGTAAAACAACGGTTTCTTGTTGTTGCCGATTTCGTTGTCGTCCTTTTTTCAATTGGCCTTCCGCCATTCCGCCGACCCCAAAGGGAGACGTTAGCGGAGCTCTTTGCTGACATGGCGTAGGATCCCCTGAATGGTGCTCTGGCGACGCGGGACGAGGAGGATGGGGGGGGGGAGCAGGGGAGAAGGGAGGAGATGAGGACGACAAAGAGGAGAAAATCACGATGAGAAAGAGGGGGGACGAGAAGGAGGAGGAGGAGGAGGACGACGACGACGAGGGTGCGACTCGCGAAGTGCCGTCTGCGATGGCGGAGGAAACTCGACAGGGTGCATCGGCGAAGCAGGAGGGGAGGGCGAGAAGAGGAGGGGGAGAGGATGACGAGAACGAAGAGGGAGGGGGAGCATAGGGAGAAGGATGAGAAGGAGGAAAAGGGAGAAGAAGATGACGACGACAATGCGACTCTCGAAAAGTTGAGAGCTCGCGACGGTTGTGGAACTTATGTAGTGGACCCAGGAGCATCTTGGATACATGTAGGGGCTCCGGGGGTGCTTCGGAGGGACATCCTGGAGAACTCTGTGTGAAAGGGTTCTCTTGGGGCGCTCTTGGGGCGCTCTTGGGAACCTCCGGGGCGCTCTTGGGGCCATGTTGGAGGAGATCTATCAAGGAAGGGGGGGGGAGTAAATTAGCGTTGCCCCTCTAGAGTGCCTCGAATCGCCTCTTGGGCCCCAAAGAGGCAAAAGTCCTTCCAAAACCTAAGGAAATCAATGTTTGTTTGCTTTCTCGCTTTTTCGTTCTTGGAGCCGTCTTGGGCCATCTTGGACGCCCCAACGACCCGCGGAACCCTCCGTCCAGGTCCAGGGGAGAGGGTAGGGGGAGGGGTAAACCCCTCCCCGAAGGGGAAGAAGGGGGTTGGAAGAGGAAACTCTTTAGACCACCGACGCCCAGAGGTCTGGTGGGGTTTGGCTGTTCAATTTGCGCTATGCCGCCAAAGGCTTTGGAATCCCATGCGCTCGCATCGCCTGCGTTGCAACGCCGTCCGGTTGTTCGAGTATCTTACGCCGCCCTGCGCCGACCACTTCGGCATGCAGTTACGGGATCACATCGTGAGGCACCTGGAGGTATTCGAGCGCGGCGCGTTGCCCGACGACCAGCGGCCAGATTATGGGCTGCGGCGCTTGTGCGGCGACGACGTGATCACCCAGGACATCGCCAGGTTGCTGAATGTGGACTTCCGCCGCTGGGAAATGGCCTGTCCGCCAGGGGCGGACTTGCGCGATATGCGCAGCGTGCTGCACGCTGAGTTGCACAGATCCGTTATCCGCGTTGAGAGCCACCCTGTAATTACACGATTCTTTTTGTTCACGGAGCGCGCCCTTGCAATTCTGCGAGCTCAACTGATGCAGATTCCGTCGTCGGTCTTCACATTACACATGGTCAACCCGCGGGGGAGGGGCCAGAAGCGGATCGACGGCTCCCGCGAGTACTACGACAACGAGGCCGACCGCCTGGATTTGAAAAGAGCGCGCTTGAATATCCGCCTTACGAAAGTGGCCAATGTCGCCTGTTCTAAGAAGCCGAAGCCTGGCGAGGCTCCCCCGAAGACTTTTCAAGCCCTTCCCTACCCCGCCCACGCCCTCCTACGCCCCCCTACGCCCCCCCTCCCCATAAGATGACGACGACGATGAACCTCCACCCCCCTGCGCTCCCCTACGCCCCCCTACGCCCCCCTCTCCCCATGCGATGACGACGACGATGAACCTACTCCACCCCTCCCCTACGCCCCCCTACGCTCCCCTACGCCCCCCCTCTCCTTCCCTGCGCTCCCACGGACTAGGGTCGCTGTTCCCTCCGGGGCTTCTCAATGGGGCCACTGCTCCTTCCCGCTATACGTTCCGTTACGGGCACGCCTTGCCGACGAGCTCCACGCACAGCAAACTGTAGCCATTTTTTGGCTCAAGGTCGCATCTTTTCCAGTGGACTTCCGCAATGGGGAAGCGAACTGCAGGCAGCAGTGGATCGGAACTGGCATTGACGCAAAACGGCCATCACGCCACGGATGTCGCCGTGCCCATCATCTCCACCAAAGAGCAATTACCTTGTTGCTCTTGGTCACAATTTGATGCTTTACGCGTGCTCCACGGCGTGGCCAGGCGGGGCCAGCAGCCAGAGGAATTTCAACGCCTCGAAATCGCGACTGGCCGGCAACAAGCATTGGAGGCGCGGGAAATGCAGGGCATGAGCAGCCGCGATGATTTGTTGAAGACGGTCGTTGAGCCAGACTGGCCAAGGGTGCAATTACCACCCTTCGCTCAACAAATCTTTTCTTGGATGCGGAAAACGCCCGGCCCCTCGTTGAACTAAGCAGAAGTAGTGGAATCGGCGCCGCGAGATGGAAATAATTGGGCTGCAGAGGCGCTGGTCCTCGAACAGCTGCGTTCCGTGGATGAACACGGGGAACATATTCGATCCCTCGAATTCCGCGGTGACTGCCGGGATTTGCGGGCGGCGATGGCCCTCGCGCGCCTCGGGGGCATCCAGCCTGCGGTTGCAATTTTCCTTTTCGGTTAGTTGCATCTGCTGTGCTGGGGCCAGGCTATCTCGTACATGTTAAGTCTAATGCTCAGCAGCCCCGCTATCCAGTGGCTTCCGGCCCATCCCGCCGCTGCGCTTGGGTCGTAGATGAGAGGCGTTGGCTTCCAGAGTACCCTCCATTAGAACCAAGAGAACTCGAATGGGGCCCGTGGCCACCCCTTTTCGTGCTTCGAGGCGCGCGTGCGGATCGCACCCACCCTGAAGATCAATAATCTCCTAGGAGAAGGCGCAACTGGCCGCGTCGTGGATGCGCTGCGCGGCATGCGGGCCAGCACGCGTGAGTTTTTTGCTAATGAGAGGATTTTCATGCATGAGCTGGTGCGCATCGACGGCATGACTCCCACTAGGGCGACTAAGGCGTGCACGGAGAACCCCATGAATTGGGCGTGCAATCTCGATGCCGACGTTCTTTGGGGCCATCTATGCGACGACGCCGCGTCTGGGAAGCGGGGTAAGTCTGCGAGGGCATCGGGTTGTCACCGCGACGGTTGTGCGAAGTTTCATTGCGGGGCGGCCGCGCAGAGGATGCAGGAGTCTCGGATGTGCGTTTACACCGGTAAGCTAGAAAGCTACAACAGCATGCGCTTGTTGCGGCGCATTCGGCTCGGTTTCGGAATGCCTGTTGCAGAGTCCCTCGCGCGTCGGGGCTACCTCGCAGCGATGGGGGGGGGCCCGAGGTCACTTGCAGAGCAGTCGTCGGCGGCTCGCTCGTTGAGGGATAGGATCCGGGCATTCACTGGGCAAGAAATATGTTTTGGACGATATGGTATGTCTCATGTGTCTCTGCCAGAAACAGATAGCCACATGAGGTTTGAGATGGTTAGTATTCCCAGGCGCGCGTCGGACTGCTTTGCCAGGTGATCTACAATGGCAGTGCGTGGATTTTAAGGATCATGGACACCAAAAAAGAAGCGCGCATTTTCCAGTCTTCATCCATCATCATCATCATCCATCACATGATCCGTTTCATGTTCCCTGACACGGATTGGCTCATCGATTGATTGAACGGATGAACTGTCCTTGTTCTCGTGTCCTTCTGTAGACACGCATCGCAGCCGGCGGCGCATCTGCGCCCGATGTGTCGCGCAGACAGTGGGGCCACCCCCGTCGCTCCTGCCTGCTCCCTCCTGCCTTTTCTCTCCTCCCTCCTCCCTCCCCCCCCCCATCCTCCCTCCTCCCTCCTTCTCCATCCTCCCTCCTCCGTCTCCTCCTCCTCCCTCCTCCCCCCCCCTCCTCCTGCTCCCCCTCCCCTCCCTCCCCTCGTCTTCCTTCTCGGCCTCGTCCGTCGCCCCCCCACCCCCCACCCCCCCCCTCCTTCTCCTCCTCGCGTTCCGCCTCCTCCTCTTGGGGCGGAAGGCTCGGGTTTTCAGTTCGGGCCCCCCCTCTTGCGGCCCCTCTTGCGGCCCTCTCGGGGCACTCTTGGGCCCTCTTGAGCGCCTCTGGGGCCGCCTCGGCGGCCTCTTGGGCCGTTGGGGAGCCTCTTGGGCCGTCTTGTGGCGGTCTTGGGAGGCTCTCGGACCGTCTTCAACGCCGCGATGGCTGAAAAGTCATATGTGATGACGATGGTGATGATGATGATGATGCATCATCGCCGCGGTGGCTCGAGGACTTGCAGCGCCTGCAGGCTAACTCCCGCCGAAGACACGGTCGACGGAGCCCCGCCGACAAGAGATTTGCGCCGCCAGCATGCCCGCGAAGAAGAAGGAGAAGGCAGAGGTGACACAGGAGCAGCTGGCCGAGGCGAAGGCCACGTCGGCGCTGACGCCCGACCGCGCGAAGGCAGCGAGCGCAGCTTTAGACGAGATGAAGCAGCCCCGCACCGAGGATAATCAGAAGATCGCCTTGGCCGCGAAGGACATCAGCGCGGGGTTCGCGCGGCAGGGCCTGGCGGAGCTACGGGCCACCCCCGCTCAGTTTGAATCGTGGAAGAGCTTTGCGTCGGCAACTATGAGCCGGAGGTCGTCGGCCTGGTGCGCCCCGAAGGTCAACGTGCCAGGAATGCCAAAAGAGTACTCGGAGTTTGTGGTCGATACTGCGGGGTGGGCATAGATGCCAGTAGGAATCGACCCGGAGACCGAAGTGCTGCACGACAAGCGCGCCCAGGTGCACCTCCTCGGGCCAAACGTGGACGAAGTGGCTTTGACAAGGGCTCATGGGGCGAAGGGGCCGGCAGCGAGCAGCGCGTCGAGGCCAGCATTGGAGTCCTCGACAACAGGAGCTGCTGCACCCGGCGGAACAGCAGGAGCTGCTGCACCTGGGGGGGCGCCCGACGAAGGGCAGAAACGGCCGAGTTCGGGGCGAAGGAGGTTGAGGTTTCTCAAGAGCTCAGAGAGCAGCCCAGAGGACATGGACAAGCAGCTGAACGACACGGCAGACCACGTTAACGAGAGCATGGAGAAGGGGATCTTCGTGCATGCTGACCCCGAGAAGCCGACGACGGCAACGTGGCCGGCGAGTTTCTGTTCTCTGGCCACGAAGTACTCAAAGAGAAACGCCGGGGGCGAGGACGACGCAATGGCAAACCTGAACGGGTTCATCAAGCGGTTATCCGAGGAGCTCTTGCAGCGCGCCGGCGCGCTGGACCACTTGGTGCCGATCCTGAAGCCGCTCCAGGAGTTCATGAAGAAGCAGCCGGACATCTTCGCGAAGTGCGGCGCGCGGGCGGCGGCGGAGGCGACGGCCGCGCACGGGCCCAAGACCCGGAATGCATTGCCGAAGGGGGAGTTGAAGCCGCCCGAGCTCAGCGCGCCGCGCGCCTCGCCGCTGCACGACCTGCCCCAGAAGGCGCGCGAGGGATGCAAATTGGAGGAGTTGTGCAAGGGCCACAAGTCAGGGAACGGCGAGCGCTTGAAAAAGCTGGAGTCCTTGATGGACGGGGCGGAAAAGACGGCGGAGATGTCTCTGATGAGCACTACGCGGGGGCCTGCGTCGGGCGCGACCAAGATGAAGTACCTGCGCGCGGGGGATGGGCGGGCGGGCATTCACCGCGAGTGGGGGCCCGCGTCTCCGCTGCTAAAGTCGGACAAACTGCGTTCGAAGGGCGCGGCCACCCAGGGGGCGTCGTTCGCGGAATTCGCGGGCATCCTCGACGCTCGCGCCGCGGTCGCGGAGTTCGCCCCGAAGATCGCCAACGCCGTCGCGCGATCCCTGTTCGCCGCGCGCGGCAAGATGCCGCCGGAGCTGCCCGCGCTGCGTGGGGGGGCGCGCGCGGCGAAGCTGGGCGCGACCGCCGCGCCCGGCTGCGGCGGCGAGATCGGCGGCATCTTGGAGGCGATGAGTGAGGAGCAGGTCGACACGGGAATCCGAGCAGCAAAGGGGATCGCAGCGCGGGCGAGCGGAGAGGCGAGCCCCGTGCCCCCCGACCCCCCCGCGGCCCCCTACGGCCCCCCACGGCCCCTTACGGCCCCCTGCGCCCCCGCCGGAACCCCGCCGCGACCCCCCTCGCGCGAGGCGGCGGAGGGGCCTTGGGGGCGCGGCGGGCGCGGGAGGCATCGGGGAGCGTAGGGCGCGCGGCCGCAGCGGATCCCCGGAGACCGGGGGTTGCAGCGGCTGCGAAGGCGTGCGTCGACGGCCGCGAGGCCCCCGTCCACGACGCGGCGTCGGCCGAGGTCGAGAAGAGGAGGGCGGCGCAGGCCGCGCAGGCGGCGCCGGTTGCAGCGCAGACTGCGGCGCCCGCGGCGGCGGCGCAAGAAGGCGGGCAGCCCTTGCAGCCCGCGCGGGCGGCGTCGCCCGCGCCCGCGGCATCGTCCGTTCAGGGCGAGCCGCCCGCGGCGCTCGCGGCGCCCCCCCCGCTGCCCGCGGAGGCCGATCCGCACGCGGCAGCTCGCGAGGAGCCCGCGGGGGCGCCCTCGCTGCCCGCGCAGGGAGAGCAGCCCGCGGCGCCCGCGGGAGAGCAGCCCGCGGTGGCCCCCGCTCCGCCCGCGGAGGCCGAGCTTCCCGCGGCTGCATCCGAGACGCCCGCGAAGGCGCTCGCGCAGCCCGCTGCGCCCGCGCAGCCCGCGCAGGCCAAGCCTCCCGCGGCTGCGTCCGGGGCGCCCGCGGGGGCGCTCGCGCAGCCCGCGGTGGCGCCCGAGGGGCCCGCGCAGCCCAACAAGGAGTTCAAGGTCGGCGACAAGGTGAAGATCGTCATGCGGAAGAAGCAGCGGAACGGGAAGTCAGGCACGGTGGAGCAGGTGCGGGCCCAGAAGGCGCAGGCGTGGGTGCCCGATGCCGACGGGGGCAAGGGGGAGTTTCGCGATTTCCAGGAGGTGAACGTCGAGCACTGCGAGAGTGAGCCCGATGGCAAGGCCCTGTGCTTGCCCGCGGGCCACGGCAGCCTGGGCGCGGCGAGCGCGGCCGCGGCCGCGGCCCCACCGCCAGCGAAGCGCCAGAAGATTTCGCTGGCCGAGCTGCGGAAGCCACGCTCGGAGCGCTAGGAGCGCTGAGGAGAGCACCCAGCCGCAGGAGGCGCGCAAACGGAGGGATCGCTTCCGTCGTCCAGCCGATGCCCCAGGACACCCGCGCATCCTTGCGCGCGCTCGATCTTAGCGCGCGCGCGGCGGCGCCCCCCCGAGGCCCTCGCCCTCCGGGCGTTTGTCAGGATATCGAAGACGCCTACGGCGAATCACCGCCGCCCCCTGCCTTTTTGGAGACGCCGACGTGGCCGAAAGTTGGACTAGAGCTTGGCCAAGCTATCGGACCATGAGTCCCCCGAGTCGGTTTGGAAAGCTCTCGGGGAACACATGGGAGAGAATGATTATGAACAGGAAGAGGAAGAGGAAGAAATAGAGTAGGAGGATGAGGGTTGTTAGGAGTCTCTTGGGGCACCCTTGGGGTCTGTTGGGGGCTTCTTGGGGGCCTCTTCGAGGCCTCTTGGAGGCATCTTGGGGGCCTCCTTGGGCCTCTTGGGGGCCTTTGGGGGCTTCCTGGGGGTCTCTTTGGCCGTCTTAGGGCGTTCCTGGTCCGTCTGACGCCGTCTGGAGCCGTCTTGGGGGCCTCTCTGGGCCGTCTTGGGGCCCTCTTGGGGCGCTTCAGGGCCGTCTTGGAGGCCATGTTGGGCGTCTTGGAGGCCTCTTGGGCCGTCTTGGGGCGCTCTTGGGGCCGTCTTGGGGGGCCCTTGGGCCGTCATAGGGCCTTCTTGGAGGCCTCTTGGGCGATCTTGGGGGCCTCTTGGGCCGCCGGAAGGCCGAAAAGAAGAAAACGCAAAAAAAAACTTTCAAAAACCTATGGAAAACCAATGATGTTGGCCTCTTCGGGCTCTCCTGGAGAACGTCTTGGAGGCCTCTTGGGCCATCTTGGAGGCATCTTGGGGCCATCTTGGCCGTCTTGGGCCAAGTTGGGGCAACAAAGGCATTGACAGACGGATTTTGGGAAAATTACGGGTGGCCGGCGGGGCGGGCCGAAGCCCACTGGGGAGTTCTTTTAGAAAAAGAACCAAAACCAAAACCTGAAACATCCAGCGCGCCGTGCACCCCTGCAAGCAGGGGGCGGCGGATCTAGTGGCCTGCGGCCCATCCCGCCACCGTGCCTTGGTTGTCGGTCTGAGATCCTTGGCGCCTGGGCTGCGAGTTAGAAGTTGCATGCCTCGAGTGGTACTTGGGGCCTCTTGGGGCATCTTTGGGGCCTCTTGGGGCCTCTCGAGCGCCTCTTGTGTCCTCCTGGGGCCGTCTTAGGGCGGAGGAAGGCTCGGATTGTCGGTTCGGGCCCCCCCTCTTAGGCCCCCCTGGGGCCGTCTTGGGGCCCTCTTGGGCCGTCTTGAGAGCCTCTTGGGCCGTCTTGGCGCTCTCTTGGGCCGTCTTGGGCGCCTCTTGGGAGCTCCTTGAGCCGTCTTGGGGCGGTCTTGGGAGGCTCTTGGACCATCTGCATATGATAACAATTATCCTGGCAAAGCAAACTAACAGCGATGTGTAGAAGCATATATGGAAGCATTCCTCTTAAGCTTCAGGTGAGAATCCAGTTGTAGAATTCTGTTGTTCTCGCAGTCGCAGTCGCATTCGCAATGACAGTCGCAGTGGCAACCAACGGCCTTAGGATCCAATGGAAACCGAAGGATTCCTAGGGATTCCTAAGGCATCCTTAGGAATCCATAGGAATCCTTAGGAACACCTGAGGAACCCTTAGGGATCCTGATTCCTAGGGATCCCTAGGGGTTCCTAAGGATCCCAATGGAATCCTAAGGATTCCGAAAGATTCGCGTGCCTCGGCCTCAGCCTCAGCCTGCCTCAGCCTCAGCCTGCCTCTGCCTCAACCTCAGCCTGTCTCAGCCTCAGCTTGCCTCAGCATCAGCCTCAGCCTCAGCCTCAGCATCAGCCTGCCTCGGCTTGCCTCGGCCTCAGCCTCAGCCTACCTCGGCCTCAGCCTCAGCGTGCCTCAGCCTCAGCCTCAGCCTGCCTCGGCCTCAGCCTGCCTCGGCCTCAGCCTGCCTCAGCTCGGGCATCCAAAATCTGGCACCGGATTGATGTTCTGGGAACATGAAGATCACGAAGTGGCCCACAGTTGGCTCCGGGCAATCAACATATGGTACAGGAGTGGTGTTTCGGGAACACGAAGAACACGACGTGGCCTACAGCTGGCTCCGGGCATTCAAATTGTAGCCTGGGAGTGGTGTTCTAGGAACACGAAGAACACGAAGTGGCCTACAGTTGGCTCCGGGCATTCAAAATGTGGCCTGGGAACGGTGTTCTGGGAAGACGCAGAACACGAAGTGGCCTACAGTTGGCTCTGTAGCCTGGGAATGGTGTTCTGGGAACACGAAGAACACGAAGTGGCCTACAGTTGGCTCCGGGCACTCAGAATGTGGCCTGGGAGTGGTGTTCTGGGAATGGCTTCCTAAGGATTCCTCTGGATTCCTAAGGATTCCTAAGATTCCTGGGGCTGCCGGATTTGTCCGGTTTTGTCCGGATCCCGCCCAGACCCCCTTGGGGCGTCAAGATGCTCTATCCCATTAGAAACCTATCAGCAAAAGCTGTTAGGCAATATACGTTTCCCATCGGATTTGGCGAATTTGGCTTTTTGGGCCCCTCTTAGGAGTGCTCTTGGAGACCTCTTGGGCCGTCTTGGAAGCTTCCTGGGCCGTCTGTCAGGATACCCTGGCGCCTTGCGCCCTTAGAATGCAATGGCGCGGGCGCCATGGGGCGTCGCACCCTCGCCGCGCATGCCCCCTCGCCGTCGTCACCCTCGTCGTCGCGGTCCGCGCCCGCATCTCCCCCCGCCGCTGCCGCCTCCAACTCCCCCCACCGTCATTTTCTTCCTCCTTGCCTTCTCCTCGCCCCTCGCTCCCCCCAGTTGCCATTTTGGCTCGTCCATGCCGCTTCGCCCTCGCAGCTGGGCTCGGCCAGTGGAGGCGCAGGCGCGCGCTGCTTGGGCGCGATCGCGCGCTAATGGGCACGATCCGGCACTAATCTGCACTATTCGGCTTGGGCGGCGACGCACCAAGCCTCCATGATTGCGAACCTAAGGGGGGGGGGGGAGGGGGAAGGGGGGGGGGAGGGGGGGAGGAGGAGGAGGAGGAGGGAGGAGGAGGAGGGAGGGAGGAGGAGGGGAGCAGCCAAATGTCTCACGCGCCTTTGTCACCCCCTGGCAGGCGGAGGTCGGCGAATAAGGTGGTGTTATTCTCTTGCACAGGGTGTCTAGAGCTCCGACCGTTTTATTTTTCGCGACGCACCCCTCCCCCAGTGGGACCTCTGCCCACAGCGCCCCCCAGTGGGACCTTCCCAGCGCCCCCCAGTGGTCCCCAGCGCCCCCCAGTGGGACCTCTGCCCACAGCGCCCCCCAGCGGGAGCTCCCCAGCGCACCCCAGTGGCCCCCAGCGCCCCCCAGTGGGACCTCTGCCCAGTGCTTCCTCCGCGCCCAGTGCCCCCTCCGCCCCGACGATGTTATTTTTCGCGCGGCGCCCCCCTCCCCCCCCCAGACCTCCCCAGCGCTCCCCAGTGGTCCCCAGCGCCCCCCAGTGGGGCCTCCCCAGCCGCGCCCAGTGCCCCCTCCGCCCCGATGATTTTATTTTTCGCGACGCACCCCTCCCGTGGGACCTCCCCAGCGCCTCCCAGTGGTCCCCAGCGCCCCCCAGTGGTGCCTCCCCAGCCGCGCCCAGTGCCCCCTCCGCCCCGACGGTTTTACTTTTTCGCGACGCACCCCTCAGCAG